TTTTTTTTTTTTCCTATTCTGAAGGACCATTTCAAGATTTTACATCAACTTTGGCCCTACACAATAATACGACGTGTACTATCGCTTACTACCGCGCTTTGTTTGACTAACTAAACGCATGGAACAGCCCAAACCCAATCAAAAGGTCTGCAAATTGAAAAAAAATCAAAACAAGTCTTGTACAGATTTTACCTGTCTGTGACATCAGTATAGTTGATGTTAGTAAAGACTGGTGAGTACGGACGAGGGCTTTTGAGCTTTTTGGATCTGCGGCTACTTTTCGATGTTGTACTGCGAGCAGCTAACTTGGGTGGGTGGAGATAGAGCTTGTGGGGGAGGGTGGGGGTGGACGGTGGGCTGTCCATCACGTGATCTATGCCTGGCTGCTGGGCAGTTGATGATCTACGAGAAGGAAGACCACGATGTGCATGACAGTACAGGTACGCAGGTAATTATATGTGATACGAAAGAAATATTGCATTATATGATGAGTCTTTTTTAATTCTGTAGTATGTATTTGGACCTGTTCAAAAGCCTACGAATACAGGCTTCTCTTGAACTTACAACCTGTTCGAGTTCTCCTGGCTCCCTGCAAACGTTCTCCCCATCCCCCCTCCCCCCCCAAAAAAAAATCCTAATCTCTGACTGGACAAAAGTTTCAACGAAAAAAAAAACATATATTCCATCTCTATGTTTCAATGAAATAATCGAAATAGCCACGGCTAGTTTTGGGGTTCGCTACTTTTTAAAAGTCGTTGGTGACGAATTTTTCTTTTCAAAAATTTTGCCTTGGTTACCTGTCAAAACTTTGTTGCTGACTGCATTTCAAGGTTGTGATTACTCAAAGACAGTTCTTTGCTATAAAATTTCATAGGATTTGATCCTCGTTATCACATATATCATCGCCGTAATTACCTGTCAATTTGAAGCTGATCTGCAGCTGTTGATTGGGAGGGGCTTGGTGCTGAGACCTGTAACTGGGGCTGGGGTGACTGTGGACTCCAAAACGAAGCACTGACTGTTGTACCTTAACATGACACGAACCACGTGAAAATTAATCCATTCATTCCTTTTCTTGAAAAAAAAAATTAATTTCCTAGCTAGTCTAATCAAAAGCCTTTTTTGGCAGCCATTCTTTAAGATGTCATGCCACGCTTCCCTCAAGAAAGGGGAGAATGGCTGATAAGGAGACTGCAGAGTGAACAGGCCTTGTATGACATAGTTGCCATATGCAGTTATAAATCACTTCAAGGAGATAAAACACAATTTATGTACATCAGTTCAATCTTACTCACTCAGTCGTTTCCAACGTTTACTGCTGGCTGATGAGTGTGAACTGTTAGGTCTCTGTTGGGCTTGCTGTGGATCAAGGAGCTCCCCAAATCTATGCATTAATCAAGGTACAGATTCATTTCCTATCTAAAGTTTGCTTGGAAATAGACCACTTTCATAAATGGCTGCCGAATTAAAATTCTTTTGTTTACATATAAAATTGCCTGGGTGGCCTTGTTCTCCAGTACAAAATTCAAAAGAATACATTATCTCAAGCGAGGCCACTCGGGCAAATTTAAATTTAAACAAAAGAATATTAATCTGGCAGCCATTTATGAAAGTGGTCTATAGAACCTTTAGTTCATTTATCATAGCTTGTTATGGCCAAAAACAAATAAATCTGAATAATGGAAGCAAGTATAAATACATGTAGATGAGAGGCAAACCAAGCCTTTACTTGAGCAGGCTCTTGATGATACCAAGGCCTAAGAGGCAAAACCTGATTAAATCTTAATTGTATAATCAAAACTTAAGATGTAAACTCAAGACACCTACCCTCGTTCAGAATCTGGTGTTGGACTATTTGGCAGCGGGATCATATAGCTGGTAAATAAACAACACATAACAATTATCATGTGATATCAACCACACCCTGATCCCTATACAATTACCCAATTTTGATGAAAATATCAGGAAAACATTTCAAATATACAAGAGAGCGCAGAAGTCATAGAATTCTCCAGTTTTATGATGTACAAAGTCATGAAGTCTGACAGACACACTTTTTAAGATCAATATCCAGTTCATCATCAGATTGTTCACTGTCAGTTGATGCTGGTTTCATCTGATTCCTAGCGGCCTCCTCTTTCTGTTTCCTTTCCTTGTCAGCCTCAGCTTGCTAAGGAAAAAAACAAGGCAACAATAAAAATAGTTCATTTTCACAAGCCTTCAATGGCTTAATGCTGTAGTTGAAACATACATATATGTAGCATGAAACAACCTGGAGTATTACTGACAGTAATCTAATACTTTTAAGTAAACTATTTAATAATTAAAGTTAATATTTAACCAGGATGGGATATCCTTGCTCAATTGCAGGTTACCCCCCTCCCTCTTCCCCCTCCCCTCCAAACATTTTGTCAAATTTTCCTGACTATTCACCAGGTACCATTTATACCACTGGGCCCAGTTGTTCAAAGGTCAATTAGTTCTAACCCACAGTTAAATTTTAATCCAGGTTTCTTTATTCCTTTGTTTAAAAGCCTTTTATCAAATGACTTTCTCTACTATTTGTAAAGCATCCATGCAGTCATCAAATTGTAGAAAAAAAGGAGTTCTACTGAATTTTCTCCCAAAACTTTCAGATCTGAAATCAAATTCTACACTAACCCTGGGTTATCTTACCCACCTTTGAACAACCCAACCCTTACATGGGTGGAGAGGGGCACTGTGTGCATAAGGTCACAGTTTTGCCCGCAAACACAACACTTGGACCCAGCCTGATCTCAAACCTGGACCTCTTTGTCACAGTCCAGTGCAAAAACTGTTAATAGGCAACTGCAAATTCTCTTATTGACATATTGCCCCTACCAAGGTTCACAAGACCCCAGACCTCTTGATCTAAATTCAAGCATGCCCTTAATCATACTGGTCTGTGCATAACATGACATACTACTGCTGACAAATCATCCATCATTTATTCACAGATCAGATAATACCAATCTACCTTTCTGTTTTGTTCATCATGGACAAGCCTATATAATCCAAAGCCAAGGCGAACAGCATGTATCATTTTCCTAACAGTATTGAAAGGGAAAATATTATTATACATCACTAATATTAGTCTTACTTAGATTGCAACTGTATGATAACAGGATTATTATTAGATTAGCATAATAAATTCAGCATAAAAGTTTACAGGATTGCAAAAAATAATTTGACAAGGCTTTCCACTTTGTATGAACACTAGTAAAGAGCTCTTTTTAATTACAAATTAAAATATTAAATAAATTTCCAGCAAATAATTCATAATTTACCCACCTTCCTTTATTGACCTGGGCCCTGATGTCATTTATAACTTTTGGTTTATAGTTTGTGGGTTGAGGTACAACAGGTTGCTGATCCTTAAAAATAGAACAGAATAAGTTTAAAAACACTGAGTTGTAGTCAACCACAGTTTGTCACTGGCCAACTTAAATTGTTCTTCTCCACTAAGTCCAAGCAACAGGTTTCACAGTGCTAGTGTAGTTGATATATGAATTTGGGATCTGGGGAAGTCAGAGCAAATGATCTTTGGATTACCTGATTTATTGCCATGGTCTGAGCATAAGAATTACAGCGCTCTATCCATTGAGCCAACTGCTTCCCGGTTAGCTCAATGGATAGAGCGCTAGACTGTTGTGCGGGAGGTCGAGGGTTCAAGCCCTGCCCGGACCAACACTCAGGGTCTTAAAATAATTGAGAAGAATTTGCTACCTTTCTATAACATCAAGAAATGGTTAGATATTCTAGTCTTCCCAGATAGGGATGAATAAATGGAGGTCCCGTCTCCTGCAGGGTTGGGGGTAGGAGATGTTAATTTCCCACGCACGATATTACTGTGTGATGGGGT